AACATACCGTGGACTGCCAAGAGAATAAATAGGTCTGTCCTGGAGAGGGTGAAACTAAGCTGCTCCTTAGGGGCAAGGATTTTGAGAGACTGTATCTCACATAGTTTGGTCATGTAGCCAGGAGGGGCCAGTCTTCTGTAGAAGGATATCATGCTTGGAAGGGTCTAGGGACAGCGCAGGAGAGGAAGACCTTGAATAAGACGGATTGACACAATCTCTGTGGTAATAAGGGTAGATGTGTCCTGGACAGTGAGATTGGCTCAAGATAGATCAGGGTTCAGAACTGTTATACACAGGGTCGCTATGAGTCGCAAGCAATGCAGTGGCACATAATATCATTAGATTCATTATATAATTATTATTAGCATCTCATTGAGTAACCATGATTTATTGACTCCACCTTTCCCCAGGTTAACTGACCCAGTTTGGTCTTTATGGTTCTCAATTCTTTACACAGAAGCTTTCTGTATAGACCAGATTGAATTATTTTATTATCTCTCGTGTTGCCTCTTTTTCTGTCCGAGAAAATAATAATAAGTTCAGTTTAGTTAGTTAATGATGCAAAAATATAAGTTGGAAACCGAGTAGATAACACAGGATGAAAACATCTTAAATGATTTTCTTGAAATCCTACAATGTACAGTAAGATTTATGGCAGAATTAGTGTCTTGGCAGTGATGAAAGGTTTCGTTATTTACTGTTCCTAGCCCTTTTGTATTCTGGACTTGCATCACCACTAATGAAGAACTTACTATAAATAATATTTATTAGTTTTCTAGGGCACTCTTGCTCTCTAGTTAAACTTGACTTCTTATCAGAAAGGTTTGGAAAAAGAGTAGGCTCTGTGTTTGGGAGTCATTAAGTGGTAAGACATTCTAAATTTTAAGAACCACAGGGGGTAATCTGTTTCTCAACTGTTTTAAAATTCTGTGGAGAAGAGTCATATTCATAAGTAGCTTCTAAGTTTTGGATTTAATCTAGCAATGAGCTTTCTTGTTTGCTAGCAACAGAAAGCAGCTGTTACTAACTAAAATGTAAAAAGAAGGATATATTGCTAGAAGTTTTATAAAATCTAATAAAGAGCCAGAATTTCAATACTTGTAAGGTAGTCTTACCAAATATTTAAGGCTTAAAATAAACACGAAACAAAATCTTTTCATAATGAGCAAAATGCACATTTCTTTAGATAATCCAAAATGAAAAATCACACATTTCTCAGAATTTAAAACACTGGAAAAGAATATATGAAAAAATAATGACTGCTTTTACATTGATTATTGGTATTTATTTACAAGTAAAGTTGATAATTTTTAAAAATTTATGAGTTTCTTAAATGTCTACACATATCCTTTGTTCCTTTTGGATGTTGATAGATATTTGTTGTTAGTCAGATCTTTCAGCCTTTCTTTCTGAGTGATGAATGACCTTATCTACTTTATATATTTTTGCTTCAAGCCATTTTTCTTGGTAGTCTATTGATAAAGGATTGCTCTGCTAATGTTAATTGCCGTAGAGTTGAGCACAACTCATAGCGACCCTATGAATAAAAGACCTGAAACCTTTCAATAACTGTCGTTTCTCAAAGTGCATTAAGTTTCCAGAGGCATGTTGCTTAGGAAGTGGTACACAGTTTAAAATCATCAGCTGCTTTGTGGGATAAATATGCGCATTCAATTCCCATGCGATTTACTGCCTCTGAAACCTGCTAGAAGGTCAGCCGTGGGTTGGTCCCAATTCTGCAGTGCACAACAATAATTTAGAATAAGGAGATTTGGTGGCCTAGTGAGTAAGGCATTGCACTGCCAATGCAAAGGCAGACAATTTGAACCACCAGCTTCTTCGATGGGCTTTCTCTTTCTCTGCCGTATATAGCCTCTGGAAATTCACTCGAAGATCAACTATTAGTTCTGATCTGAGAGCAGGCTGTGTGTGTTTTAGAGACAGAGATCCTTGCTATCATATTAAGGCGTGTTGAAAGAGAAAGAGATAACCTAGTATATTCCCTCTAGACATGCTGACCCCCGTAGGCTATGATTCCTTTTAAAAAAAAATCTTTCCAAAAGAAATGCATCCCCCCACTCCCTGTATCTTATTATTGTGATTTGAAAGTTTATAAAACAAATAAATTTTGGTTTTCCATTGAACTATTCATACACATTTTGTTTTTTAATGTTTGTTATAATACCCACAAGATAACCACACGCTTCACCCCTCTGAGTCTTTTTTCCTATACTTCTGTCCTCCTCTATCCTGACTTAACTGAGCTTTATCCTTGGGTAGATACCACCCTTTTGACCTTAAATGTTTAATTATTCCAAGGAATGAATGTCTCCTTGGACCTATGTTTTGGCCAAAAATTGACCTGAGTGGTACATTTCATTCCATATTCAAAAGATGATTAAGGACCATAATCTTTGGAATTCTGCCAGTCTGCTGGACCAGTATGCCTGCCTAATTTTATGGTTGTGAGTTTTCCTCCACGTTTTGGCCTACTTTATTGAGAGCTATCTGCTATAATACCTTTTGGAGTGGTCCACAGTGGTAGCCAAATATACTATCTAGCTTTTCAGGTCTCAGTATTGCAGAGGCTAAGTTAGATGTCTATTATAAGCCAAGTTATAAGTCTTTTAGGTGTTTGGACTGGTGGCTTCTATTCATCTTTGCTTTTATCCTCTTTTCTTTGTTTTGAACAGAGACAGACCAGTAACTATACCTTATTTAGGTGGCTTTAAGATGATTGTTAGGAATGAGAAATGTCCCTTCCAGATAATTTTTATAATTTATTCTATTCCACCTCCTATCTCATTTCCTCATTGCTATAGAGTAGAAACTGATTCATAACATACTCCAGTGGATTTGGGGATGTTGTAAATTGCACAGGAGGAGATTGCCTGTGATTATCCCATAGAACTAATGGTGGATTTGAATCACCAGCGGAGTGCCATCTTTGTGTGAGCAGTACAACTCTTGATGGCCTATGCCGCCAACCAGGGTCCCCTTACCTCTGTCTAAGAGTGATTTTTTTGGGGGTTGGGGGGTTCTTTTAATTTGCTTTTTTACTTTAGAAATTACATACTATAAATGATTCTACTTTGGACATGTTGCTAGGAGGGGCTATTCTTGGAGAGGGACGTGATTCTAGGAAGGAAGGGTAGAGGATCAGCAAAGGAGAGGAAGACCCATAAGCATGTGGATTGACACGGTGACTGCTGCAATGGGCTCTTGTGTGTCAGGAAATGTGTGTCAGGATGACACAGGATAGAATAGGGTTCAGATCTTTTATTTATAGGGTTGCTAGGAGTCAGTACCTAACAACAACAACATAAAAGATTCTGTTATCAAAGACTGCAAAATAAAAACTAAGGTTTTTAGTTCTCGACTGGTCGCTACATAATTTATCTGACGTAGAATGTATAAGACGTTATTGTTGGTATGGTTTTATCTGCTACTTAAAAACCTATGAAATCTTGTAAGCTGAAGTACCATAAAGTGAAAAAAACAATTACCTTACATTTATAAGGGAAAAAATTTTGAGCATTTGCAGATAAGAAGAAAAAAGTACCAACTTAAGCCAAATAACAAATGAAATGAAAACTTGAAATAACACTAGCATTTACTACTCACAGATGCTGTTAGGTTGCTGTGGATTACCAGTGCCATTCTTTCATTAAATTTTATTATTTGTTTTCCTCTTTAAAGAACCATTGCTGTTTATGAAATATTTCTTAACTGTTTCCTCAGTTGAATAATTAAAAGAATTGTTACCCTGTGCACAGTAGCTCTGAACCATGCTTTGTCTTCAGCCAATCTCACTGTCTTTGACACACACCTACCCTTATACCTCAGTCACTGTGTCAATCCATTTTATCCAAGGTCGTCTTTTGGTCCCTCCACCCTTCCAGACGTGGTGTTCTTCAAGGACTGGTACCTCCTGGTAGCATGCCCAAAGTATGTGAGATAGAGCCTCAAAATTTTTGTCTACAAGGAGCAGACATGTAATTTTTCAGTATGAAATATAGCATTAATATGTGCTATTGATTTATCCTGATATTTTTAGAATAACTTTTCTTGATCATATATTTTTATTGAAATACAGAGCTGGATTTAATTTAATTTAATTTAATAATATTTTGTTATTTTAAATTAATATTTTTAACGTCTCATTATTTGATTTTTCTGGTTTCATTCTAGCTTTTAATGAATTGTCTTAGAATTGAGTAGTTTAAGTTTACTAATTGTCTACTCTTGGAGGATGTTTGGAACGTGATATTAGTCATTCTTTGATTGTTAAGTATTTAGCCATTGTGCATTAACAGACCTTTAGCTGTAATGTCTTTAGTCATCTCTTAGATAGGAAAATTTTCTCCCTGGGGGGGGGCTTATGTCCCCCTTCCCACATTTTTGTGTGTACTATGTATCCCTACCATCACAGGGCTTAGAGATAGAATGAGTATAGTTTTATTTATTATTGTTTAGATGAAAATATTTGACAAATATGAATTTTGAATTTGAGACTTTTTATACATCTCTTGACCATTTTTGAATGCTTATTTTTAGTTTGCTTATTGTTTGCTTTTTTAGTTTTTAGTATTCTAGTAACTGTGAAGATTTTGTCGCTGAGCACTATATTGCTTAATTACTATATTCATTAATAATAGTATTTCTTACAAAGTTACATTGTACATATAAATATATGTATCATTTAGGAACCCTGGTGTTTTAGTGGTCAGCACCGCCCACATAAAGGTATATAATTCAAATCCATCAGGTGCTCCATGGGAGAAAGGTGGACACTCTCCTCCTGTCTGATTTACTGCCTCAGAAAACACTGAGGGGTCAGCTATGGGTTAATTCTGACTTAATGGTACAAAGCACTAACCATAATAACATATATTTTATACATACATAAACGTATATGTATAATTTATCAGATATGTCATGTAACAGTAATGTAACCTTTTTCTATTCCAAAAATTACACCTTTTTTCCCTTTTTTATAGGTGCCTTAGCTGGACCAATTGTTGTGGAACCACATGTCACGGCAGTATGGGGAAAAAATGTTTCATTGAAGTGTTTAATTGAAGTAAATGAAACCATAACACAAATTTCATGGGAGAAGATACATGGCAAAAACTCACAGACTGTTGCAGTTCATCATCCTCAATATGGATTTTCTGTTCAAGGAGAGTATCAGGGAAGAGTTTTGTTTAAAAACTATTCGCTTAATGATGCAACAATTACTCTACATAACATTGGATTCTCTGATTCTGGAAAGTACATATGCAAAGCTGTTACTTTCCCACTTGGAAATGCTCAGTCCTCTACAGTTGTAACCGTATTAGGTAGGTATCCTTAAATTCTTGTCTTGGTAATTGTCTTTAAATGTGAGAGCTCTGGTGGCCTAGTAGCAAGAAGCTGAAGGTGCAGGGTTCCAATCCACCACATGCTCTGCTTGAGAAGGAAGGACAATCTCCTCCTGTACCAGTTGAATCTGATTTGACAGTACATAACAACAACAATAAAATGTTTATATGCTTAGATTTAAAAGAATTAAAATTTTTCAACTTTTGGGCAGTCTCCTCTTGTGCAGTTACTGCTTCTCAAAACCTGATTGGAGAGTCAGCTATGGGTCACTTCCAACATAGTGACCTACAACAACATGTCATATTTAGGGACCGGCGTATTGGATTGCTAACCAAAAAATTGACAGTTGAAGTCCATCAGCTCCTCCAGTGGAGAAAGATGAACAATCTCCCGTAAAGATTTTACAACCTTAGAAATCTCATGGAGGATCTCTATATGAGTTGGATCAGCTGCATGATAGCGGCTTTGGTGTCTTATTACTAGCTATATAATGAATATCACCAAGTGTCGGAGAGCAGTGCTGAATATCCCATGGGCTACCAAAAGAACAAACAGATAAGTTCTGGAGAAAGTAAAACCAGAGTACTTGTTGGAGGCAAAGGTGGAAAAGTTTTGTCTCATATACTTTCGGCATGTTGATAAGGAGAGGCTATTTCTTGGAAAGGAACATTATTCTTAGAAAGAAGGAGGGTCAGCAAAACAGATGAAGACCATCAACGAAATTATTTGACACAGTGATGACAACCATGGACTCAAGTATGTCAGATATGATGACTCTGAGTCTTACTTGACTCAACAACAGTTTAACAACAACAAACTAGTTCTAAACCCAGAAAGCACTAGTGGTGTAGCCCTTAGCGAGTTGTGCTGCTAATCCACCAATTGTTTCTCTGCGCAGTCTGTTCTTCTTGATGGCACGGAGATTCCAGTTTTCAGTTCTAAGGTTTTTTACATAAGATAATATTTCCTTTCTAATATGGAGTGTTCCTTTTTCTTTTCACTGTTTCTTTTTAAATTTTTAATTACAATTTTTGGCTAAATTATCTTCTTCTTTTAAGTAATAGAGTTTATCTTTTGTCCTGACCCTCACTGATGCGTGTTCTACCAAATTCTTCCATGTTCTGATGCAGTTTAACCTAAAATAAAAAGTTTTGGTAGAATTTTGAATAGACTTTATAAGATTAAGAACCTTACAATGGAAAATAAAAATGGGGAGATTTTAATTTTTACTATCAGTAGAAAGTTTATTTACTTTCACCTCAATGAAAAGTGGAAAATAAACTAACTTGGGAAGTTTGGTTAATGAATTAATTTAAACTAATAAGGATTAAACAATCATAGCAACCTGTAGGGTGGTATACATAGCTTCGATTCCCTGGAGAGGGCAGCTAGCTGATAGTATCTAGCTTACTTATCAATAGAAGAGAATAGTTTTGTGGACTGGAATGATATACCTTTTATAATTTAACTTCATAATGCTAAAATGTATAGATGTTCTTGACATTTACCAGTCATATAACAAATGCTTGAGCCAGGAGATAGAGAGGGATTTGTGAACTTGATAGTTTAGCAGTGTTTTGTAAAAGAAATGGTTGAGCCAGTTGTTGGAAGATAAGTTTAGGATAGGCAAAAATGGAAGTAGTTTAGGGAAGTTATCCTTAGATAAGTGAATAAAAGTCAGAGAACCTGGGCACCGCCCTTCTAACATTAAGGTTACGTTAGTGTATTTCTGAATCTGCTTTTCTAGCTGTTAGTTTGTGTACTTCATAAGAAAATCTTTTAATATCAGCCAGCTTAGTACAGAAGGTTCTATTCCATTTTAGTGTATATTTGACAATTCAAAAGAAGCAGCTACAATTCTGAGGCAAGGTTTTGAGACCCTTGAGAAGTGAGAGGGATATGGTCTGAGTATATTTCATAGGATTGGGACAATGTCTAATAACTGTAATGTTCACTTGACAAAGTTTACACTCTTAGAATAAATAATAGTAAAGCCAGAAATAATCTTGTCATAGAGACATCTAGCCCTGGTTTACATTACTTAAATAGACGGAACTTCAAATTAAGGAATTTTTAGACTAATTAAATGTACTCTAGTGACATGGTGGTAAAGTGCTTTGCTGCTAACCAGAAGAGTTGGTAGTTTGAACTTACTAGTTTCTCAGTAGTAACAATATGTGACAAAGTGATTTCCACTTATTTATAGACCTTGGAAATCCTATGGGCCACTTTCCCTATTCTGTAGAGTGGCTATGAGTCTGACTTGACTCGATCTCAGTGAGTTTGGATTTGATTAGACTGGTTAGTAGTTTTAGGATTTAAGACATAAATTTTGTTTGGAAGGAAGGTGCCTTTATTCTAGATGTAAAATTATTTCTACAGTTTTAATTATGAAAGCATGAGCAAATGTCGTTTGAATAACCATGCACAAATAAGGAAGACTTGCCAAGCAGCAGCTAGTACAAACAGAAACAAATGCAGAGACTTCAGATGTTAGCAGACACAGACTATCAACAGTGCTTATTTACTCTTTGATGAAATGAGTCCACCTATAAAATTTTTACAGAAAGGAAGCAATTATTTTTTAAACCACATGACAACTGGCTCTGAAGTAGAGAATTATTAGGACATGAAAACAATTAGCCTGAAAAAAATAACAAAAAGTTAATAATTGATTGTGTGTTTTAAGGTCGGTATCTCTTTTCATCAGAGCATACCATACATAGCTGATTAATGTAATTGCTGTAAATAAGTTGCACACCTGTGAAAAGTTGAGTTTTCATAAGTTGTGTTGTATGTTTATAATAATGACAGAAGAAAGTAGCTGCTGGGATTTCTTAATGTGTAGTCACACACCTCAGATTTCATTCCTTGATTTGAAAGTTTAGGGCTATAGTTTCATGGGACATCCTATTTAATTGGCCTAATAACATGTTTAGTGCTTCCATTCTACCTCCTACTTCATTCCATAGTGCCTGGGGTAAGATTCTGTAGAAGAAACCTGATAGATCTTGTGGGTGGGATGGGAAAATGTAGGGTAGACTTTCATATTCTCATACAACCTGTATTTCCTGGAGTCATGGAGGGTAGATGATACCCTGAAAGCAATACTCTGAAATAGTCACTAAACTAATGTTCTCTTAACCCCAGAAGATAAGTTTAACTAATAAGAAATGTCTGCCTTTGAGCTTTGTCATCTTTTAAGATCTGTCTAGATAGGTTAAAAGTGTTGTTGAGTTGTAGGCGACTCTTAGCAACACTATGAACGAAAGTCCTCAACACTTGTGTAACTTTCATCGTTTCTCCAGGTTCATAGGGTTTCCAGAAGCAAGCTATTACGGAAGTGGTAGCAGGAAAGATTAGCAAAGAACCTGAGGAGTGGTAAATTAGTTTATATTAATAGGGGGAAAACAACTTAGAAAAGGAATGTGAAGACAGTTGCATAACTCAAAGACTACGATACTTGCCCTTTAATTGTACATGTAGAAACTGCTGAATTGATGGGCGTTTAACAGTAACAGCAGCATAGGAAAATAAAATATTTTTTTTAAATAAATAAACCACAGCCAAAAAAATCAACAAAACTAAAAACACACACCATTAAAAGTCATGAAAGGACAAACTTAGTTCTTGGAAGATACTTGTCTCACATCTATGAAAGAGCCCTGGTGAAGTTACATGTAACATACTGGGTTTCTAACTAAAAATTTGACAGGTTGGCAATTAAAATTAGAAGCTATGGATTTCTTTTTTTTTTTTTTTTTGGTTAGGATAATCAACGCGTATAAGAACTTTCACACATCAAAAAGAGAGTTGGTGTCTGTAGGGATTTTTCAGAAGGAATTCCAAGGGACCATTAGCATTTGAAGCAATCTTGAATTTATAATCTGAGAAATGCAAAATAATAAATTCAGTGATATAAGTGTACATAATTCAAGATCTGCACATATTGAGAAATATGCCTATTTAAATGAGGGTAAGCATATGGGCCAATAGGAACTCTTCTAATTGGGAATATAAATTGATGTTTTGGAAGACTCTTAGCATTATTTAGTAAAATTGAAAATACATAGAGTGGGTACAATTCTACAAGAGACAAGTGAGAAATTTATGCATAATACTCCAGATAATAAATAGGAATATTTCTTATAACATTGTTTACCTTGATTGAGAACAGTCCAAATACCCAACAGTAAATAAACTGTATGGCTGTTAAAATATTAATGTATGTATCTGCATACTAATTATGTACATAATTATTTCACAATGAAAGTTGAAAAAAAAACCCAAAAGTTATAAATACTCTGACATGAATGAATCTCGGGTATTCAAGGTTGAGTCAAAGAAAAACTATGCAAAGACAAAAATATAGTTCAGTTCTACTCATAAAACTCAGAAAAAGGTAAAGTTAAACTTATTACTGAGGTTTGCTTTCATTTGTTGTGTAACTTTTGTTGTTATGTGTTGTCGAGTCACTTGCGACTAAGCGACCCTATGTACAACAGCCCTAAACCCTGCTCTATCCTGTGCCAGTTGCACTGCTTCTGACACACCTATCCCGATTACCCTAGTCACTGACTCAATCCACCTCATAGAGGGTCTTCCCCTCCTGCACCATCCCGCCACCTTCCCAAGCATCATGTCCCTCTCTAAGGACCGGTCCAATCCCTCCTTACAACATATCCAAAGTGTGTCAGACGAAGCCCCAGAATCCTTGCCTTCAAGGATGAATCTGTTTGTTTTCCTAGCAGTCCATGGTACATTCAATATTCTTCTCTAGCACCACAGCTCAAAGGCATCATTTCTCCTTCTATCCTCCCTAGTCATTGTCCAACTCTCTGATGCATAACAAGTAATTGCAAAGACCATGGCCTTTATCAGACGCACCTTAGTCTTCAGAGTGACACTATTACTCTTCAGTACTTTGGAGAGGTCCCTAATAGCAGACTTTCCCATTGCAATACGTCTTTTAATTTCTTGGCTGTTGATGCCAAGAGTGTTGACTGTGGAGGACTGAAGTTGTTAACAATCTCAGTCTCTTCACCATCCATCCTCATGCTGCCAATTGGTCCATTGTTGGAGGATCTTTGTCTTCTTGACATTGAGCCTGAATCCATATTGGAGGCTGCAGTCCTTGACCCTCTGCAGCAAGCGCGTCAGGTCCTCCTCAGTTTCAGCAAGCAGGGTTGTGTCATCTGCATAATGTAGATTGTTTCTAGATCTTCCACCAATCATGATGCCTCACTTCGCCTCATTTATTTCCAAAATTAGTATAATTATGTGACATTGAGGGCATAATTAACATCAGGAGGAAGTTTATGAAGGATTTGTTGAATGCTAATAATAGCATTTATGATGGTCATATAGGTGTTTGCTATAAAATGTTCCTTTTGTATGTTGTTCTTAGTTTTGATTATTTCATAATAATGCGTCTTAGAGAAAATCCTTAAGGAAAGGTTATTTTTATGCCTTGAATTTGAAGTAAAACAGGTAGATATGAATCAAGAACAGATACATGATAAAGAGTAAACCAATGAGAATTCTTATAAACGGAAAAAATAAGTCATTGAAATAAAGTTTCAATGTAAAAATAATCTGTAGATTAGTCTTAAAGAAGCTCAAGAAAAATTACAAGGAAATTGGGAGAGAGAGATAGCAAATTGGTAGGTTAGATGGTTGAAGAGGTCTTTATGAGGCTACTTCCTCACCTGGGGGAATTTTTCTCTACCCTATAAGATCCATGGCATATGCATTACTATAAATGAAACCATTTAGTGATGTTAAATTGGTAGCATGAGTTAATTAGGTCTATATTTTAGAGTAATTTGAGAAATTTAACTATTTTAACATTCTACTCTTCCCCTAACATGTGAGAAGTTAAAGGTGAAAGTGTAAAAGACCATGTTTTAAATAAAATATTAGAGTCACTTAATGGGCCAAGATGTTTTGTCCCCTATTGCTTCTCTCAAAGGAACATTTTCTTAACATTTTAAATTTAGGCTCTGTACTGGTAATTTATCTAAGTATTATTTCCTTTAAATGCTTTTGTTTCAAAATAAAGTATTATTCATTAAAACTGTTCTCTTATCTTTCTAGTATATTGTTAATCTCATAATGGAAATTCTTATTCATGAAATATTCTTTTTAAAATGTATTAATTTTAAGAGAGTAACTTGTTTATCCCTATAAAATGTTACTTGTTCCAAGAAGTAGTAATATTGTAATATAAAGCCTTGGCTTCTTTGCCCTGCTCATTACTATCTCTTGTTCCAAGGATCTTATAGATGTCGTCATTTAAAAGTGTATTTGTGTTTATGTTTGCATTGTCTTATCCCTAAGTTTATGGCTAGATGTGGCTTAGGAGGATACAAATATATTCTTATATAATATGTAATATACATTTCTTTTTTTTTCATGTTAAACAGTTGAACCCACTGTGAGCCTGATAAAAGGTCCAGATTCTTTAATTGATGGCGGGAACGAAACAGTAGCAGCCATTTGTATTGCAGCCACGGGAAAACCAGTGGCACATATTGACTGGGAAGGAGATCTTGGTGAAATGGAATCCACTACTACTACTTTTCCAAATGAAACAGCAACAGTTATCAGCCAGTACAAACTGTTTCCAACCAGATTTGCTCGAGGAAGACGAATTACTTGTGTTGTAAAACATCCAGCTTTAGAGAAGGATGTTCGATATTCTTTCATATTAGATATACAGTGTAAGTACATACTAGTATTTTCTTTTAAAATGTAAATTACACATTGAATTTTAGTTTTCTTAATTTGATTTATTTCTTTGTCATACTATCTTTTTTTAATTGAGATTTTAATGAAAGTTTTTAGAGAACTTGGATTTCTATTCACTGTTGCACATTTTCCTCCCTACCCACCCACCCCCAGTTTACTTTTCATTTTGAAAAGAGAAAAAATTCTTTCATTGTTATATGATATCCCTCCAGTCCACTTTACTATGTAGCTGTTATTCTGAACTCTTGCCATGCAAATAATACTTTTTTTTTTATTAAATTTTATTAGTTTTAATGAACATTTACAGAGATTTGGGGTTTTCATTCAGTAATACTTAATCATATATTCCTTTTAAACAGTTCTCTCCCTCATCTGTTTCAATGCAGTGTACATTATGTATCTTCTCTTAGTTTCCCCTCAACCCCTGTGTCAGTCCTGTGTTATAACAGTGGCATTATGCAGTATTTGTCCTTTTGTGACTGAGATATTTCATTCAGCTTAATGTCCTCTAGGGTCATTAATTTTGTATATTTCCTGAGTTCCTTGTTTTTCAGTGATGTGTAGTATTTCATTCTGTGAATATACCTCAGCTTCTCTATCCATTCATTTGTTGATGGGCACTTGGATTATTTTCACCTCTTTGCTATTGTGAACAAAGCAGCAGTAAACATAGTTGTGCATATATCTACTTCGGTGGCAGTTCTGGTTTCTTCAGGGTATATTCCTAGTAGTGAGATTGCTGGGTTAAATGGTGTTTCTATTTCCAAATTTGTCAAACTATCTTTTTGTTTGAATTTTTAATGTTCAAATTCCTCCATCTTTTCTAAAAATAACATGTTTTGTAATTTGTTCACGTTCTAGAAATTTTTTTTATCAGTTTAGTAAAGATAGATGGGTGACTTAAAGCATGCTCTGCAACTTACATTATATAACTATATTCTTTTTAAAAAATTCTTAAGAATATGCTGCATTTTGCACTGCAGCCCCAGAGTTAGGCTGTTTGAATCCACCAGATGCTCTGCTGGAGAAGGAAGGGCAGTCTCCTCCTGTACCAGTCAGATACTATTTGCCAGTACACACACAAAATAATAGATAAAAAAAAAAACCTAGAAAAAAAGAATATGCTCTATTTTAAGTGAGTTTGGGGAATTTTTCCCTCAAAATGTACAGTACTTGAAGGCAAGCACCCTTTCTCCTTTCTGATTCATTTTCATTGATGTTACCCATATTTTCAGAAAGAATCTTGATCTTTCTTAGATACATTTTCATTATTTTGAAATACTGTTCAAAAACATTTCTAACTTAGTTTTATTGATTCATGTTGTAAAATAGTATTTTGTAAAGAGATCTAGAATAATAATAATATCCAAATTATTTAATGTCTTTTGGGGTTTTTTTGTTGTTGTTAAACAATACTCTTATGTTTGTGTCTGTGGTGTACATATGTGTGTTTATACACTTTTATGGTCTGTATAAAGTTTCTCTATTTGACATATTGTTTGCTATTTTTATAGCATTTAAAAATCTTGATTTAACACCCCAGCAACGACAGCAGAATTTAATAGGGACAATAAAAAACAAATGTCAGTTGAAGGTGTGAAGAAATTGGAACTCTCATATACTGCTGGTATGTGTGTAAAATGGTACAACCACCATGGAAAGTAATTTGGCACTTCTTAAAAATTTAAAATGCATGTATTTTTTGATCCAACAGTTCCATACTTGGTATATATCATATAGCAATTGGAGCTGGAAACAGTCCAAGTGTTCATCAGCAGAGGTGGTAGTTACATTCACTTGGTGGAGTAGTACGCAGCAGTAATAAAGAATTTGCGGAGTACTGCGTAACATAGACAGTTCAAGAGGACATTGTCCAAAGAGGACATTCAGTTCAGTCACAAAAGGACAAATATATAAACGACTGTTTTACAAAGTTCAAGTTGACTGTTTTACAAAGTTCAAGTTTAGACACAGAATAATTCTTGGATGATTACCAGGAATGGAAAGAGAGTGACAATAGTTACTGAATATATATTAAGGTAGATGAAGGGAAAGGCAGTATGCAATAAGAATATAATTATACATCGCAATTAATTACAGTAATTTTAATATTATGTGTGTGAATGATTGAAAACCAATATAATCTGTCACTGTTCTCCAAAATTCTTATTTTTTTTTTTTTAAATATGGAACGCTTCACGAATTTGCGTGTCATCCTTGCGCAGGGGCCATGCTAATCTTTTCTGTATCGTTCCAATTTTAGTATATGTGCTGTCGAAGCGAGCACGAAAATTCTTATTTTTTAAAAATTAACAGAAAGAAAAATCTTGATCTATAAAACAGGTAATGGTGCAAATAGCTTTTGTAATTATGATAAATACAACAAAAATGATACAAAATAGGGAAAGTGTTTTGCTTTCTCAGCCATTTCCATCCTTAACAGATCTTATGTTTAGACAGTTTTTTAAAGCCATTCTGTTTTTCCCCACTGTTGGTTTGCTTTTTTCATTTAACATGCATTAAAGTATTAATTACACATGCATTACTCTTGTGATTTCAGTTTCTAAAACTAACCATAAAGCTGTTCTTCAAAGTTTGTAGGGTTAAACTGGAGATAATTATTTGACATTGTTACTATGTGTATGAATGCTGCTGCAATATTTTCTCCTCTTTGAAAAAGTAATTTATTTTCCCCACCTTATATTAACATACTTTTAATTTTTCTTGTTAAAATTCAGCCCAATTTTTAAGCACTGCTCTTTTTCTCATACGTATTTTTTCCTTCCCAGTGTCTAATAATTACTGACGGTTTTTTCCCCCAACTTTTATTATAGTTATTTATCTATTTGCTTGAATGCAATCTTAATTACATAAAACTATGTCTTTTAATGTAATAGTTTGTCATTATGGCCGAGATTTATTGGGTTAGCTTAAAAATGTTCTTAACATACTTTTGACCAGAATTCTTTTTAGAATTGGGTATATATAAAATGTGAACAAAGTTTGAAGACATAACATCTGATAGCCCAGTTTATACCTCAGTTTGGAGGTATTTAGAATACTGCAGCCTCCTTAAAGATACTAAACATACATATTTCTAAACTGTTCTTTCAGCAGCATATTTTACTACTGATTTCAAGTTACAAAAATCTTTTGATTATCATAGGAGTCTGAAATGAAGGTTGCAGAGTGGAGTATACTGGGAGTGGGGGTCGGGGGCTGAGGGGAGATTGTATACCAATGAAGGAATTTTTCTTTTGCTTTTCAAAGAGAAGAGCGAACTGGAGTTGGCGGTGGTGGGCAGGGAGAAAAGTGCAACAATGAGTGAATGGAAATCCAAAAATCTCTGTAAATGTTCATTAAAAGTAGTAATAAAAAAAAGGAGAAAAAAATATTTGTTAATTCTTTGTATTTGGGCTAAACATTTCTTTTTTTAATATTGTACTATAATTTTACTTTAGTAAAAAGATTTTTTACCACTTTCCTTCACCCGCCAGCGACAGGGCTGTGATTTTCTCTTTTTCTGTAAGTAGTTCAGGCTTCCCAAGCACGGTTAAAGTCTAAACTGGTTTGTCTGTAGCTTTCCATATAATCTTTGGTTTATATCCAGTTTACTGTGTAACTCACAGAAAGATATAGAGTGCCTGTAACAAGCCATTCAGAATACTTCCATAGGGAAGCTTTTCATGGCCCTCACCCACCCTATTCCTAATTGAAAGTACCAAACCTGGCTCTTGAGACAAATGTTAGTGAAATATTAAAAAAAAAATTCCGTTTACTATAATCCTGTAAACTTCATGAATATAGCATTTGTATGTATACCAAATACCTGAAAATAATATCTGACACATATATAGAGTTTAATAAAATTATGGTGGGAGGAATGATGGTGGGAGATAGTATAGAACTTTAAAAAGAATCATGAATCTGTGCTCCAGGCAGAGAAGTTTAAATTGTTTTTTTTTTTAAGTTTATTATTATGTTGTTGTTAGGTGTACTGAATGGATTAAAGTTCATTTTTTAGTACAGTTGAGGTTCTAGGTAAATTATCTAAAATACATAGGCTTAGAAAGTTGTATCCTCTCTCTCCATATACATAGAATATTGACTAATATAGTGAACTTAATGCCCCAAATAAAATTTCCTTTTAGATCAAATGTCTACTTAAATCAGCAGTTTTATATAGTGACATACATGATACTTGTTATTACTATTGAGTTAAATGCTATATTTGAATATTGAATTAAATACTACAAGATTTTCTTTATCTTTCTACATCTGATCTTCTGTTTTCCTTTTGATGGTTATGGATTTATGAATATTCTTAGCTTCAGTATCTAACTGAAACTGAACATCTATATAGCCATTCATTTACAGTTTTTTGTAAATACACAATTTATTGACTAGTCATTCACTTTTTTTTTTGTCAATTACTATTTAGTGAAGAAGCTCTGGTACATTGTGTGTTGTTGCTAACGAAAGGTCAGCATTTCAAATCCAGATTTACAGCTTCAGAAACCTTATGGAGAGTCACCATGAATCAAAATTAACTTGAATGCATTAGTTTTAATATTTATTGAGTACTTAGTTTAACATTAGTTTATATGTTAAGAGTAAGGAATAAGAATTTCTTTTTTTCTGATTCTGTGAGCCTATTATGTTAATGCTTTCTCATTATATTTTATTTGTTTATACCATTAACAAAATAATTTACCTTTCGTACTTTATTTTATAGATGCTCCTGAAGTTTCAGTAACAGGGTATGATGGGAATTGGTTTGTTGGAAGAAAAGGTGTTAATCTCAAGTGTAATGCTGATGCAAATCCACCACCCTTCAAATCTGTGTGGAGCAGGTAATATTACATATTTATTAGCTTTTACTATGATACTTAGGTTTTTCTGATTATTTCTTATTTGAATAACCAACTTAAAAAATATTTAAGCCATTGTTATTGTTACTCTTTCTAGAGGAGTAAAGGGTACAAAATTTGAACCCATAGGATGGAAATAATTATACACACACACACACACACCCCACCCCTACACACCTGTCTGTATATATTTCTAGTGGTCTAGTGTTAACAAGCTGTACTGTATCCCAAAGGCAGAGGCATGCGGTTCAAATCCACTAGCTGTTCCACAGGAGAAGGATGGGGAAATCTCTCCCTGCAATTTACTATTCTGAAAATCCATGGTCAACTGTGGGTTCATTCGGATTCGACAGCACACAACAACAAATATATATACAGTTGATGCAGTGCAACAGTGAACTTAAGAATAACAGATTATGAGGATGGTGCAGGATTGAGTAATTGTTGCTGTTAGGTGCTGTCAAGTTGACGACTTACATGGACCTTATAAACAGTAGGTCTAAACCCTGCCCTATTCTGTACCATTCTTACCATCCTGCTCAAGACCAAATGTATCTCACATCCTCCTTACTTTTGACAAGCAAGTTTTGTCATCTGCATATAGCAACTAGTTTATGAACCTTCCTCTGATTCTGGAGCTACATTCTTAATAGAGTTAGCTTTTTGGATAATTTTCTCTGTATACAGATTGACTAGGTAATGGGGAGAGGACACAGCCCTCAGGTACACCTGTCTTAATTATTTTTAAACCATGCAGTGTGTCTCTGCTCTGGTTGCACAACAACCTCCTGTCCAGGTATAGTTTTTCCATGAGCACAATTAGGTGTTCCAGGATTCCCGTTCTTCTCAGTGTTAACCCACAACATGTCAGGATCCACACAATCAAATGTCTTTCAATAATCAATAAAACACAAGTGTATTTCCTTGTAGTATCCCTACTTTCAGTCAAGATCCATCTTATATTAGGAATGATATGGCTAGTGCCACAGCCTCTTGTTCTAAATCCAGCTTGACCATCTGGCAGTTCTGTGTCTATGTACTGTTCCAACCATTCCTGGGTGATCTTCAGTAAGATTTTGCTTGCATCTGATATTAGTGATAGTTTGCTATAATTTCCACACTCAGATCACCTTTCTTGGGGATAAGGACAGATAAGGATTTTTCCAATCATTTGGCTGCGTAGCTGTTTTCCAAATTTCCTAGCGTAGACTGGTGAGCATATCCATAGTGGCTTCTGTTTATCAAAACATATTAATTAATATTTTTCAGTTCTTGGGTCCTTATTTCTTGACAGTGCATTCAGTGTGCCTTGAACATCTTCCTTGGTGACTATTTTCTCCCTGGAAGGGTTTGATGTAAAAAAGTTCTTTGTGGTGTAGTATTCCCACTGTTGCTGTGGTTTTGGGTGTTGGTGTTTTTGGTTTTTTTAAAAAAAATATTGTAATTTTAATGATGCTTCCTGGATCATTCCATATTTTGCCCATCGCATCCTTCAGTATTGCATCCTGAGGCTTTGATTTGTTTTCCAGTTCTTTGAGAAATGTTGAGAGTGTACTTTCCTTTTTATTTTCTGACTTCAGCTCTTCACACTTTGTAATACTTTGCTTTATCTTCTCGAGCTGCCCTCTGAAATCGAATTGACTGTTAATCTCCTTTATTTCAGCATTTAGTCCTTTTGTTTCGGTTTCTTGTAGGGCAATTTCTGACAATTTTTTCTGACATCCTTTCTGGTCTTCTCTTCTTTCTCTGACTTTGTAATGATAGTTTGCTTTCCTCACGGATCAAATAGGGTTTCATTTCTTTGAGTGTTGGGTTGCTACTAGTTGGAGCTGATTCAACATCTAACAACATTTGTTAAGTATTTTCCTAGGAATAAGGTACTCAGATTTTGAAAGCTGATGGTTGTAAAAATGTCTTCTCAGAGTCACGTTAAGCTCCTTATACCAAAAAGACCAAAAACCCAACCCTAAAAAACAAACCAGAACAACCAAACCAACTATTGCTGTTGAGTCAGGAAGGACTAACCCACCGTTACCATGCATTGTTTCTTATGCTTAATGATAAAAAACTCAGAGACTGCCCTTTTCCCATGGAGTAACTGGTAGATTCAAACAGTTGACTTTTGGGTTAGAAGGACAACATGCTACCCACAGGGCTACCTGCACTCTTTTGAGTGTTGTTCTCGCTACACCTGAGATTGTAGAACCATCTTATGCCACTTAACTCTCTACTTTTGATTTGCTGCTTTTCACTTTCCATTGCTAGTAGTTTCTTTTAAGTTGTTTGCTTCAATTTCTCAGTGGTGCTGTAATAGAAATACCATAGTAGCTCCTTTAACAAACAAACTTATTTCCTTCTTATGTTTAGCAGGCAACAAGTCTGAATTCAGGGTGTCCCTGGCTGTCCCTCCACCCATTCTTAGAGAATATCCTTGTCGTAACTTCTGTGCTGTTTTATTCATGTGATGTCAGTCTTTCCTTTATCTCTGCTTGTTTCTTTGCCTAATCAATAAGTAAAAAAAAAGGAAAACCCAGTCCCATATGAGCTTACATCCACAAGTGTGGAGATTAGTATTTCCAAGATCCATTTTTGGGAAATACATTTCCTAACAATCTTTTCTCCCTGTTAGGTACTTTAATTGTTGGAAGGAGAGATTAAATCTGATTACCTCTGCATTTTAGCAATAGAGTGAATGAAGCATAGCAAGTAGTAAGCTCTCCTAGTAATTGAACAGTTTTGGAAACTTATGTAACTCAAATAATACTTGAGTGTGTTCTTTTATTCTCTTCAGTCAGCATGATAAAGAAACTTGACAGATACTTTACACAGAATTTCTGAATAGATCTACTAGTGTGATGGTTTGTTTTTATTATTGTTTTAGTACTCTCAGGTTGTAGTAATAATTTTTGATACATCCTTTTGTTCCTTTATAATGAATGAATTTTAAAGTTCTTATGCTTTTGTGTCCATTAATTATTATTGAGTTCATTCTAACTCATGGTGACACTTGTATGTTACAGAGTAGAACTATAGGGTTTTATTGGCTATAATGTAACAGAAGCATTTCACTAGGCTTTTTCCTCCCTTGATCTCATGAGTAGGTTTGATCTTCTAAAGTTTAGGTTTGTATTTAAACCAGAGTTATAACAGTAGGACTTCATTTCTAATATAACTTATAGTAATGTGCACAATAGACTGAACCTCTTGGCAAAGTTAGTATAGGTACCTTCTAACAAGAATTGCTACTGACATAAAATTGTCCCTTGATTTTCCCCCCCTTTTTTCTGTTTTCACAAATGCCCACCTTATATATGAAACTATAAGACCTGGTGTTTTAGATAATCACCGTTTCTTTGTATGGAGCACTTTATAGATTTACTCATAATTAAGTAATGATCTGTGAATATGTTACAGGGAAAATAATTGTCATGTATTTTAGTACACGTGTGCCCTCATGTACATGCATGTGCACACTCACGCACTCACATAAATACCATGAGTAGATTCATGAGTAATTCACTGAGAACTATATTTGATACAATGGTATTGTCTTCAGATTATAAATTACTCTGATTTTTCAGATTTTTTAATATAGCTCTCTAATAGTACATTTTCCCCCATCTCCCTTCCCATTCTAATAATGTTGGCCTGGCTACACCCCTTAAATGAGTTGAAATTTTTGACAAAATGGACATTGTTAATTATTTCATCTTTATTAAAATTAAAGAATCATCACTTTTTACCAAGTATTTTAACTTCATTTTGTACTAGTTTGCATCTAAACGTTGTTTTCCTGACATCTCAAAAACGTAATGTCTGGAATCATTGGCAGTGAATGTATTTTGAAGATATTTAAAATAATCTCATACTTCTTAAAATTTAGGTTGGATGGACAGTGGCCTGATGGTTTATTGGCTTCAGATAATACTCTACATTTTGTCCATCCATTGACTTTCAATCATTCTGGTGTTTATGTTTGTAAAGTGACCAATTCCCTTGGTCAAAGAAGTGATCAAAAAGTCATCTACATTTCAGGTAAGTTATTACTGTCTTATAAAATGAATTACTTTAAAAAGCATCTAACACTAGTACAATGATCTGAACACTTATTTTAGTACAGAAACAGATTCCTCAATTTAAGGTTTCTCAAATAATCTACAAAGAATATGATAAACTAATACCATTTAAAATAAGTAAAGTGTACAGTTAACCTAATAATTGCCTTTCATTGATGTAGAGAAGTGTCAAAATATCGATGCAAGTGTACTTATATTTTAATACGTATACATACTCTTGCATTGAATATTATATTATCCTCCATAGATAATATGCCTTTCTCAGTTATTTATTTCTTTACACCAAGAACAAACACTTATTTTCTCAATTTGGTAGATCCAAGTGTCTAATTAATATAATAGCAATTATGATGATCTCCTTGTTAAATATCATTGTTACACAATATGAAACTATACCATACAGGATTACTGGAACTTTCTGTAGCAATGTTATTGTTTTAATAAAATAAAACTTAAGATGGTCTTGATGTCACTTCTTAAACCATTAAAAACTTAGGATTTTCATATTCCAGGTGTTTTGCTGTATGTTTAACTTTTAATTTGGGCATACATAAAATATTAATATATTTAGAGTAAAAATTTGTCTGTAAATGAGAAATATTATTTATAATTTCAGTGCTTATTATATAAAAATTAAACCCCTAACTAGTTTACAGCTAATAGTTAATTAAACATCTCTTACTACTGATAATTTGAGGAGAGGACCTACCTCTTCTTTCCCTAATTAAGTGAACTCATGAATAAGTCAGTCATTCTGCAGCAATTGCAGTCACCCAGGGAGCTCTGGTGGCAAGGAGCTGCACTACAATCCCAAAGGCAATCCCAAAGGCATGCAGTTCAGAACCGCCAGCTGTTCTAGGGCAAAAGGATGGGCAGTCTCCTCCTGTCTGATTAGTTGCCTCTGAAAACCTGCTGGAGGGTCAGCTATGGGTCATTTCCAACTCAGGGGCACAGAACAACAACAACAACAGTCCTCATTAACTAACAGATGGAAAATGAAGGTAATTTTGAAGAATGATGGTTTGCTAGTTTTGTAATAGATAATTTGCAATAATTTGCCTATGAAACAAAAGAATCAGACTTCAGGGAACTTTTTTTGTTTGCTTAAATATGCTCTTAATTCTTATATGATCACTCAAGTTAAAGATCAATTCCCTATATTATTTTCTCTGGACAGTAACACAGTTTATACTTAAATGCTTTACCTTTTCTTACATTTAAGTGATTCATACTTCCTTTGTTCCCAGCTATATATCTAGTAATCAGTGTAATGCCTAAAAACATGGTAGGACTTCAATATTATTTTTTCTTAATCGTAGAAAAGCTTAGAATTATTTACACTCCCAACTCTTTGTCCCAGTAGCAGTGTAGGAAATTGAACAGAATTAAGTATTAGTAAAATTAGTTCTTATTTTTTGAGAGGATTTTTATACAAAGGAAAATAATGGATAAGTCATAGGAAATGCATATTTAAAGTATAATTTAAGTAATATTTTTAATATTTATATTGGGTTGGGTATAAAATTTGTAACCATTATTTCATTTCTAGGTGTTGTGTTTTGCACTTTCTTTCATTCACATTATGTTTCATTCTATCATTCCCATATATTGTGTTATGAAATTAATTACTATTGGTTTGTGTCCACTATTACCCTGTCTTTTCAGGGTCCCACTAGTTCTTTCCTAATTCCCTCCCTCTGCCCGCCAAACTCTGTGACTCCTTGCCTCCACTTCCCTACTTTGGACATTTGTACACATCTTACTAGTTATTTATTTTTATAGTAATGGTCGTACATAGTATTTATCTTTGGGACTGAGTTAATTCACTCAGCATAATGCTTTCCAATTTCTCTCATGTTATATATTTCAAAATCATTGCTCCTGAGCGTTGCATAATATTTCATGTATGAATAATGCTTCTGTGGATACTGGTGTACAAATTTTTGTGTCTCAGTTCTAATTTCTTTGGGGTATATTCCTAGCAGTGGAATAGGTGGGCCATGTGGAACGTCTGTGTTCAGCTTTTTGAGGAAACACCAAACTGCCTTACAGAGTAGTTGTACCATTTTGCAATTCCACCAGCAATATATGAGAGTTCCAGTATCTCCACATCCTTTCTAACATTTATTGCTTGCTGTCCTGTTAAACTTTGCCACTGCTACGGGGATGAGATGGTATCTCATTATGGTTCTGATTTGCATCTAACTCTTATTGCCAGTGATTTTGAGCATTTCTTCATGTGTCTCTTGGTCATCCAGATGTCTTCCCCTGTGAAGTCTTTCCATATCTTTTGCCATTTTCTAATTACGTTATTGGTCTTTTTCTTGTGGAAGCCCTGAAGTCTATGAACTTTTATTATGAGACCTTTGTCTGAGTTGTCATTACCAATTTTTTTTTTCCATTCAGTAGGTTCCCTTTACACCCTACTGGAAAAAGTTCATGATACACACAGGAATTTAATCTTTAGAAGATCCCATTCATTAATGTACTCCTCTCTTGATTTCACATCTGGCTGTATTTGCCATTTGCCAGCCTATTTATACCATGGGCTAGGCCTTCTACTACATTTGTTACCATTTATGATCTTTAAGGTTTTGGGCTTTACCCCAACATCTCTGGTTCACCTGGTGTTGTTTTTTGTGTGTGTGATGTGAGATGTGGATCTTGCTTTAGCCTTCTATTTTGCCAGCATCGTTTTATTGAAGACATTTGTTGTTTCCTCAGTTGATAGACTTTGCTTCCTTGTTGAACACCAACTGGCTATATAGATTGATGGATTGATGTCTGGGTTCTTGTCCATTGATCTTTATATCTTTCTTTGTATCAGTACCATGCTGTGTTGTTTATTAGAGCTGTTTAGTAAGATGTCAGCCTCCCACCTCATTCTTGTTTTCAGAAGTGCATTGCTTGTTTAAGGTCTCTTTCCAAATAAACTTGTCAGTTGCCTTTTCTATTTCTTGGTAAAATTAATTTGGTATCTGTATGTGGATTGTGTTGAACAGGTAGATTTTTTTGGAACAGGTAGATTGCTTCTGGTAGGACTGTCATTTTCACTATATTGAGTGTTTATATCCGTGAAATGGAAACATTTTTGCATTATTTAGGCCTCTTGCTGGCTCTCGCTGTAATGTTTTGTAGTTTTCTTTATAAAAGTCTTGTGTGTGTCTAGTTAGGTTTACTCCCAAGTATCTCAGTATGTGATTGGCTATCATAAATGATACTTGGTGGGGTTGTTTTAGTTTCTTTTTCTATGTCTCCTTTGTTATTTCGAGAGGAATACTACTGATTTTTGTATATTGATCTTGTATCCTGTCACTCTTCAAAACTGATCTACTAATCTTGAGGTTTTTTTGTTGCATTATTGGTCTCTTTTCTGTGTACACTAGAATATCATTTGCATCTAGTACAGTTTTACAACCTTTTTTGCCAGTTTGGATACCTCTTATTTCCTTTTTCTGTTGTATTGCCCTAACTAGGACTTCTGATACAATACGAAACAGGAGTGGTAAAAGTGGGCATCCTTGCCTGTCTCCTTTGCAATGGGAGACATTATGTGAAGTTTTTCTTCATATGTGTTACACCGTTTCTGGTGTTTCTACATAATTTGTTGACATTTTAAAGTATTAGATTTTAAAGTATTCCCTTTTGGGGATAGGGCAACTTACTATATAGCAGAGTCATTTCTGAGCTTACGCAATGGGAAAGCTACTCTTTTCTAATGTCCTTCAACTTTTCTCTCAACTGTAGTGTAGGGTTGCAGGACTCTTGCCTGAGTGCTGCCTGCTACTTCTAAAGTTTATAGTCGTCTCTGGTAGTGCTGCTTATTAGCACAGCATCCTAAAAGCACCTTCCCCTGGCAGGCAGCTTTACTCTTCTCTATCCCATGTGGGGTTTATGAGAGCCAGGCTCTTAACCTTACCTAACTACCCACTCAGGTTTTACACATAACCTGGTAGGGCTCTCTATAGTCTACACTTGTCTCTTCTGAAGTTTGTAAATGTCCTTGCAGGTGCTAGTGAACACAGCATTCAGACCTACCTGCCCCAGGCAGGCAGCTGCTCTCTCTCTAGTTTTAGGTTGAGGGAGACAAGGCCCTACTTTTATCTAGCAGCCCTCTCAGTTCTTTGGTACAGCCTGGTAGAGATCTCTCCACCCTGCTCCTGCTTCTTTTTAGCTTTTCAAATGGAGGAGCATGGACACATCAGTTAGAGACCACCTTCCCCTCGGCAGGCAGCTGCACAGTCTTATTTTGTGTGGGATCGAGAGGCCTTAAGTAATATTTTTCTATTGTAAAATTAGGTACTGAATATTAGAAATATTATGGTCAGGTACATTTGTAATTAACTGATCATTTAAATATTTGGGCTCAATTTTGGAACTATAATATTTTCTTGATGATTATCTAAATACATATTATTTAGCATATTAGTACTCCTGACTTATGTATTCACCTTCCTATTTAATGATCATTAACTCTGTTAATCTAATCAGAATTTAAAACTTAATATCCTCACAGCCAAGTTCCTGGTCATCCTGCCTTTGTCCCTAAACCTACTGCCCCAGAAATTTTCTGCTCCCATTTATGGTAGCTTTTTCTTCACATTTGTTTTAGGTTCAACCCTTGATGGTTATTTTCCCTTTTTTAAATACCATCTCTAATCTGACATTCTATCACCTCTGCCATTAAGTTACATGCAGAATCTTAACCAGTAATACATCTTTTCCATTGGAACTATGCTGGTGTAAGCAATTAGCAGTTCTCTCCACACTGTCCATGCAATAGCATTAATCCACTGATTTTTTTTTTATTCATATGTAACTTTGTAATTTTTGACTAGAGAATAATATCACACTGGCAATAAAGTTTTCACTATTTTTAAGTGAAATCTACTAAGTCTTGGAAAAACATAAGTCAGGTTTTGAATAAATATATAAATACTTACGTCATAATAAGGTAGCATTATGTGAAATTATTTTTTTTCATCAACCATCAAGAATAGAGCATGACTTTTCTGTCCAGAGTCTTAAACATAGCACTTTACACTGAGGTTAGCTTCTCTAACAGTTTGTTATAGTGTATCACATTTTCTCGATAGTGTGTGTCTTTCTAAAATGACTATTTAGTAAAAGCTACTAGAATTTTTTTAAACTCTGGGATTGACACTAAATGGTTATTTAATATTTTTTGTTTTAACATATGTATACTTTTCTCAGGAAAGATGAACGGTAGTAAGAAATTTTTGTAAATTAAAAATATTTTCTAAATATGTTTTTTAAAGAAAAATTTTGTAAATTAATTTGTAATTTTGATAAAATTAAATTTTATAAAATTATTTTAATTAAGTTGATATTTAAAATTTAAAAAATAAGAATTTAAAAAAGCAGTGTTTGTTATGATTAGGGACCATTGAAGTTCTCAGAGCAGAGTAGAATTAACAACTCTATAATTAATATAGAACATTGAATCTTACTACACATTTTTTCAAATTGTTTTATGACTCTCATTGTAAATATTTTTAAGTAGGGTAAGAATTAGAAGTGCAGTAGAGAAAGACCCTCAATGAGATGAATTGATTCAATGACAGGGACAGTGGGGGTGCTTGTGTCAGAGACAGTGAGATTGGCACAGGATAGGGCAAGGTTTAGGGCTGTTGTACTTGGGGTTGTTTTGAGTCACAGGCGACTCGACACCACATAACAACAAAAATTAGAATATGTCACATGTATATTGTCATGTTTATTGCTTAAAATAGAAAAAGTATTTTACACTAAAAGAATAAAAATGGAAATATTCTCCACTTAATAGAACAATAGAGAGGTTTGGTGGCTTAGTATTAAGAAGCTGTGCTGCAATCCCAAAGGCTCATGATTTGTATCCACCAGATGCCCTGCAGGAGAAGGATGTGTATTCTCCACCTGTATGATTTTTTACCTCTGAAAACCCACTCGAGGGTCAGCTATGAGTTGATTCTGACTCAGTGGCAAACAGCAATAGAACGGTAATAGGTCATAGGTGCAAATCTTGAGAGTCCTGGAAAAACAGAGCAAGAGTTACAGAGTTCAGGTTCTCACAAGTTTAATTGTATCAATTTATTATTCATGAAATGATACTAATAGATAATGCTTTTTTAAAACATTATTTGGAGAAGATTTGTTGGAAAATTGATAGGACCACTGACAAAGTTTTACAGTATTTTTTTGGAGGAGATTACTCTTTTTTAAAAAAAAAATTTTTCTTTTATTGAAAACTATTTTGTTAAATATCAGGGAAATAAATGGTATCCATCCATTTATTTTTACAAAAAGAATTGCAAATAGATATAAGAATTGTTATTGTCCTTTCTCTTCGCAATGAGGATACTTGGTAAAGATGTTATGTATATTTTATACTCATTGCAGAGGTCGAGAAAATTAACATTTCATGTAAATCTACATAGGTGATGTGCATTGTATCTGGCTATCTGTGTTGTTGCCAATTTACTGTAATATTGTTTTCTTTGCGTATCGTTATAAAGGTAATGTTTTATACTTAAAAATAGCACTTCTCTGTTACATACCATCATAAAGTACATGAGTTGTCTAGCAGTGATTTACTTCTTAGTAAATTTCTTAATATTCTGGTAATGGGAAGTTAGTAGATTATTTGAAGGTTTACTACTTTTTATATTAGAAATTATCCTGCACCTCCACAGTTTTCTTCAGAGTGAATTTATTTAGCTAGTGACTCTCTTCTCACAAATTAAAGTTTGCTTCCTTGGTTTTTATCTATATACTCTGATAATTAATATTCACATTAAGATACTTGACAGGATTACCTATTACATCAGTTTGAACTGAAAGGAAATTAGTTATACTGTCATTGTTAAATTTTATCCTATACTTGCTAAATTTTTACCACATTCTGTATATATGGCATTCCGTGATGAAACCTGTTTAAGTAAGTATTTTCCTTTAGCTTGTAATATTAGAATAACTTACCCCATGTAGATTTAGTATATTTCTAACAATCATTTTTTTGGAAAAAACTGTATCAGTACCACTCATTTTAAAAAGTAATTAATTATAGGAGATTACCATTTGGGTCATTTATTTTTTTACCTATGAAGAACTTCACAATTTTTTAACCCATTCTTTCTTCAGTCTCTACAGTTTGTGTTACATGACCTAGAAATACCACTTAATTGATAATTAACCAGTCTTTAATTTTTACTGTTTATGTTTAGTTGCTTTTTAATATTAATGGCTATTTATTCTATAAGCTAATCGCAATACAGAGTCATTTGCATCTAATATTTAAATTATTAGAATGTTCTCTCTAAAATATTAGTTACTGTCTGAGACTCTAATGAAATTTTAAAGCTCCAATATTGTACCTATGAGGTAATGTGATGATACTATTTTTATAATACTTTATTTTTTATGATATCTTCTCTTTTTTCCTATTGATGTCATTTGATAATAGTCTATTTGGCTAATGTAGTTCAAACGTAAATACTCCATATTTTTAAAATGACTAAATAATGATTTATAAATGATTATATATCTTTATACCCTTCTAAAAAATGAAAAAGCTCTCTTTTATAAAGAAAATATTTTTGAGAGAATTATTAAACCAACAGCTTACACTGTGCCCACTTAACAAGAATATATAGTTTTTCATTCTTTTTAAAGATAAGTTCACATCATACAGAAATAAACTACATATTAGATGAAGATGAATATTATGGAGATGCACTTTATTGTTTTATTTTATTTCCTTGTGCTACTGACTATATAATGTATATTTTAATTATTTAATTTAATGGTCTTATAATTTTAAGCCTGCTTTGTAGAACAACATACTTAAGTAATAATTATTTTTTTAAAAAATAACATTTTCTCTTCAATAAATATTATACTATAAATATGGAATAGAATAATTTAGGTTTCACACCATAAGTAACTTTTCACTTCACTAGTAACTGACCAAGTGTCAGTTTTATTAATTTTAAATAGATCAGTACATCTTCATTCTAATCGTAATCAAATTAAGAATGAAAAACTATTGTTACTATGTGTGTATATATATTTATATTCATTAACTGTGCTGTCTTTTCAACTTGCTGCTGAATCAGCCTGCATTGACATTCTTTGCCTTTCTGTGTCTTGTCTATCTTTACTGTTTCCATTAGATCCTCCTACTACTACCACCCTTCAGCCAACAGTTCAGTGGCATCCCTCAACTGCTGACATCGAGGATCTGGCAACAGAACCTAAAAAATTGCCCTTCCCATTGTCAACTTTGGCAACCATTAAGGATGACACAATTGGCACGATCATTGCTAGTGTAGTGGGTGGGGCTCTGTTCTTAGTGCTCCTGAGTGTCTTGGCTGGAATATTCTGTTATAGAAGACGACGGACGTTTCGTGGAGACTACTTTGCCAAGAACTATATCCCACCATCAGATATGCAAAAGGAATCACAAATAGATGTTCTTCAGCAAGATGAGCTTGATTCTTACCCAGACAGTGTAAAAAAAGAAAATAAAAATCCAGTGAACAATCTAATACGTAAAGACTATTTAGAAGAACCTGAAAAAACTCAGTGGAACAATGTAGAAAATCTCAGTAGGTTTGAAAGACCAATGGATTACTATGAAGATCTAAAAATGAGCATGAAGTTTGTCAGTGATGAACATTATGACGAAAATGAAGATGACTTAGTTTCACATGTAGATGGTTCAGTAATTTCAAGGAGGGAGTGGTATGTTTAGCAACCACTAAACATGACTCAACTATGTACATTGTTTCATTCATACTAGTTGATCATTTTCAGATTGTTCATACTTTTTCTTGAGGAAGAAAAAGCTTTTTCAAGTTGATTTTCAAGCTTTTTATATTCTGATCTAACAAATGAAATGAAAATGTAAAATCTGGGTTAAATGTATCTAAGCTGCTTTACAATTTTTTTTCAATGCTGTACTACTGTCTCAAGATTTAAATTTTAATGCAGAGTACTTTATTGGTCTGTGGCACAAAGGTAAGAAGGAAATGTCAACATTAACCATACGACTTTTTGGTACAAAAAGTTTAAAAAGAAAAAAAAACTACCTTGGCGCAGTGTGTATTAAGTGTTTACCTAAGACTATAATCTCAAATACAATGTTTGTTAAACATATACCTCTCAAAATTTATCACCACTAAATGATACTGCATTGAAATTGACTATAAAATCAATTTAAGAAATGTTTATATATATTTTAGTATGAAATATTCAGCCTGATCAAACATCTTTCCTTTTCAGATATTATTTTCTAAGTTTCTATACAAATGGAATTTCCTTACCTCTGCATTTTAATGAGCCTTGCCATAATTACTGTAGAGTGGCTTTTTAAAGATATTCTGTTGCACTAAAACTGTGGTAGTAAACTCAGTAAACAAGATGTGTGGAAGAGCATAATTAACTGATCAATATTTTTGTCCAGAGTACATAAAAGAGTAATAAAATACATGTCTTGTAACATGATAATCATTACATTTATTTTCATCTCTGGAAGAGAATTTTTCTATTGTCATGTGAACATGGATATTGGTATTATTAAGTGGTAGCTACCCTTTTTTTAAAAGCTTTATGTCCTAACTATTAAGAATAATAATGAAAAGCTGGCACACAGTTAAATTTCAGTGCAAAGAAAGAATTTGAGAATATTGAAATACAAATATAAATTGGCATTGGGCTGTCAGTTTTATAAAGTTTCAACCAAGAATATGAGCAAAGTATTTTCGAGACCATCTTGTTTTTAGTCATTTAATGTGGATCTTCTAACAGGTAAATGTACAGCAGAAATTTTGATTGAACGTGGAAATTTTGGATTTAACGAGATAAATCTGAATTCTAGAACCAATTGGTAATGCTTCTAGATGCATATTGGCGAATCATCTTCTTTTTTCCCCCTTCTCCTATATGTATGTATGCATTTCAATATTTTTGTTTTTCCAATTAAAACTGGAAACATACCATGTGGGGGTTTTTTTTTGGTTTTTGTTAATGATTTTTTTTACATAATTCATTTGTTGAAAAGAAATGCTATTAAATCACTTTCCATCTCTTTTTTAGATAATTGCTTCAATAGTGGAATTGTGTCAGATTTCAACAGTAATAGAACTATTTTGAAACTTAAAAATGTTTTTCTATTTATGATTCATTTGGAAAAAGAACTGTTAGAATTGCCTTAGGTGTTTTGTAGGTAATGAACTAGAACTTAGTGGAAGAATCATAAATAAATTATTTTGTTAATGAAAAAGCAAAGTAGATACTTTTTTTACTATCCCACGTCCTCATCCACCTGTATCCCTTAAAATTAAAAAAAAAAAGTTTTTTTCTATTGCCTTTGTTATATTTTTTTAAGGTTGTTCCCCCCCCCCAGGGTTTTTTTTTTTTCCTGATTTGGGTAAAAGTTTACAAATCCTTCATTGAAGTGTTTACACACACTTTGTTTTGTAACATTAATGTCAGTATCCACAATATAATCCAACTTTCCCCACTACCTTATGATTCTGACTTAATCCTTTTTATATCTTTCTGCTTTTTCTTTCTTTGATGATACCGTGCTAATCAAAACTTCACCATGTTTCCTTTCCACACACATCCCATAAATATGTTTATAACCTGTTTACTTTTATTCGTTCTCCCACCCTTCCCGTTCCTAGTAATAATTCAAGAACTGTTCTTTTTGTATGTAAGCCTTTCCTTAACATTAAAAAAAACAAACAAACAAAACTACATTTAGAAGGTAAAGTGCTCATAGGTTCTTGGATTTTTGCCATTAGTGAATATTTGATTTCAAATGATTACAAACTAGTTCCCTTGATTTAATCAATAATATTTTTAAAATAGAAACCTATTTCTTTTGTCAGCCAAGTAGTAAAGAATGCAGTTATGTAGCTAATGCTCAGTGATCAACTGGTAAAATGGTTTTTAATGCATAAAGCCATTGATTAGAAATTTATAATCATGAGAAGAAAAATTTGATTGATAATACACTGTGATTGAAGCAACCTTATTTAAACACCAGTGTTTAAAGTTTCTTAGCATGGAAGTTCTAAATTTGGATTTTCCTACCAAAGTTTCTTGTTTACAGTAATAGTTTGAAATGCTGTGTGAATCCAAGCACAATGCTCAAATTTAGAATGCCATAGAAATCTCAGTGTGAATATAGTTTGAAAAATTAGAAAAGTATTTCAGGAACAATATTTCAAAAATATAATTATGTAATTACAGAATATGGATTTGAATTGTGATTCTGGTGAGTTTAGGTGTGTTCTACCCCGCTGGAAGATGATAATACTGAAAACCAAGAGTGTTTGATAGGCTTTGTATTCCTAACCAATTCCAAGCATTTGATATGCTCAAAGTTTCAGTGGAGCTCTGGTGGCATAGTCTGTAGGAAATTGCACTACCAACCCAAAGATGGTTCAAATCGACCAGCTACTCCACAGGGTTGGAGTATCCAATAGTTATGTGTAGAACTTTCTGAAGAATTGCACTGTTTCTTAGAACTTTGTTTACGTAGAGGCCAGTTTACAAAGTAGACATATAAGATAAACATTTTTGTTTAATTTTAAATACCACTAATGTACAAAGCTAATTTATGGGTGTATAAAAGAAATTCTACTGTCTTTTTAGAAAAGGTGGAAGAATATTTTTGGTCATTGCTTTTTTTCCCTCCATGTGCTTTAAATGAACTACTTTTTATGATTTTCATGTTAAAAAATACATTAATAATACAGTGGAATCTATGCAACTCTTATTTTTTTCTCTGCTCCTCCCCCCCTTTGTTTTTCCAAATGCATTGAGACTTCTTATGTTTGTTAAGGTTAACTTTAAAAGGTGATGTTTAGGAAATACTTCAATAGTTGAAAGATAAATTTTACTATGTGCCTGATAGGTTTCTATTTTATATATATATATAATATTAAACCAATAAGGTTTATAAGTAGGAAATATTTATTCTGATACCAATGTATAGGAAGCTTTATAAAGGTACTCTGGCAAAATGTTTTGTGTAAAGGACTGTAGGAAGTATATTGTATAAGTGCAAAAGGTGAAATGTTGCTAGTTTATATGTTAACATTTAATTTGTTTAATGCTCTTTTTAATAAATAACCACTAATACAAATATATGAACAAGTCATAAGTGTGTGGAAATAATATAAAATATAGGGAAGAACTGCTACTCATAGTCAAGTTTTAAAAGAATAGGCCACATATCAAATTTCCATTCCTGTCTACCTATTAATTAGAAATGTGCCATTCTCAAAAGTTTTATTGTTTGGTTTAATTTTAGTTCTGCCAGTGATAATTTAAAAAACAAAAACAAAAAACCCACAAAGATATGTTGTAGTTCAGGTAGCCATATGACCAATACAATTTTGAAGAGTCTAGAAGAATATTTCTACAATGAATCTTTGACTCCATTTTACCTTCTTTGTCCTTAGTATGATATTTGCTGGATGGGTGCCTATAAGTGAGTGAATTTACTTTAATAATGATATTTTGAGGATATTAGAAAATGGTTTTGTTTTTGTTCCCAGACATTATCAACATCATCATCATCACATTTGGTATGGATAAAGTTTAAGAGAGCATACGGGTATTATAAAATTTTATTTGAATTTAGTTAATCCCAGTTTTGTGACTATGTAATGTATAATATTGTCCACAGCTACAGTGCTATATTGTCTCTATAGTCCTAGCAGTTAAAAACTAATTTTAAATGTTTTTACTGTGATTCTGACGTACTTACAATTTAATATACTGGATTTTAATTTTGCATTAACATATTACCTAAGATATTTTTTGAGTTGGCACTCCACTTTTTTAACTCATGAGCTACTTTGCTTCAAAAAAGAGTTGTTTTGAAACATTTGTAAATCACCTCTCTGAATTGCATTTGACATTTTAAATTATGGTACGTTTTCTAAATTTCAAATTATTCTAGGGCAAGCAACATTTTTAAATACTAAATTTAGTTCCTTCTTTGTGTATCAATGTTGTAAAAATAAATTTTTCAAGGAAATTAATGCATAAATCTTTGAATAGTGTATGGAGTATACAAACTGATTTTTTAAAAAAATGCTTTCTGATTATTTTTCTGGTAATTTGCATTTTAAACAACTTTTCCAGTTTGAATAGAGTATAAGTTTCAGTCAAGAAAGAGCTTGAAATTAAACATTGCTTACAAAAGATTATGCTGTATATACTCCTACATAGTGGTCATTATCTTTCTTGTGCCTATACAGGGTATTAAATAGAATCGTATATTGGCCAGCCAGTTGTTGTGGATGGAGCAGAATGAAAATCAACTTAATAATAGCTTAATTAACTGTAAAAGATAAATTGCCCTAACAATTTGAGAATAATTCAAAGCTTAATTTTTATTGTTTATAAGATTCTTGTGTTTTTGTTGTGTTCTTCTGTATTGGAATTAACACTGGCTGGCTCTCAGTTTTTTGAGGCAGTAAATCTCATAGGAGGAGAGTGCCCATTCTTCTACGGAGAACCTGGTAAATTCAAACCTTTTGCCTTTCAAATTGCAGTTCAGCTTCTTGCCACTAGGCCTCCTTTCTGTGTAGAGTCTCAATTATAAGCAAACCTGGCCTTAAAGAAGTTTAGATTTAAATCTGGATGTTTTGGCTTACATTAGTAAAACCAGACCCAAACAGAGTTATCTTTTATTAGAAAATTATGTAAAAGACAGAATAGTCAAATGTAACCCTAAACTCAAGTTAAGCATTCTTAGCCATTAATATTTCATGCACACTTAGACAGCTCTAGTAGCGAAGTGGTAAGAACCTGGGCTGAAATCCCAAAGGTTCATGGTTTGAATCCAACAGCTGCTCTGTGGGGAAAAAATCTGTGTGCATTTTGTTGCCTCTGAAAGCTTGCTGGAGAGTCAGCTATGGATAGATTCCAACTTGGGAAAAAACAACAGCTACTGGCCCCTGATTCTTATTGCCTGCCATTATCAATAAACTATAATGACTAGTTTGGGGTTTTTTTTTTTGTTTTTTTAGCGTAACTGCAGTATCTTCATTACTTTAAAAATTAACAGTCTAAAATCAGTAACCGATGAATGTACATATTTCCAGTCCTATATTTTTACAGTTTTAGTCAGGATCTATATATGTCACATTTTATGATTAGTTAAAATGTCAGTCTATGAATTCTTCATTCATCTCTTGTTACTTACTTTTTTAAAATAAAATTTTATTTTGTGATTTTTAAAGAACATTGACAGAGAAGTTAAATTTTCATTTATTCATTGTTACACAGTTACCTACTTACCCCCAAACTCCCAGTATTCTTTACAGTGATATCTCTCTTATTCTGGGCTGCTGTTGTACGTATAATGCCTATTCATATATTTATTTTAGATGGTTCTTTCTTTCATCTCTTCCAATGCAGTGGTCATTGTCTATCCACTCTTACCCTATTCTCCTCCCAACACCCCCCCC